CTCTGAGTGAGCTCCTTCACCTCCTCGGCAAGCTGTTTTGTTCGTTCCCTTGAGTCCCTCAGCAGCTGAGCCAGGTTCACCTGCGGAGCAGGAGGAGGAGAAGAGTGAATGCACAACAGCTTGTGCCAGGCCAGACAAGGTTCAAATACCCCAGGAAATCACATTTAATCAGCATCAAACATTTTCCTTCTTCAACTCAAGAAAAAAAAAATGCCTATTTTAACATCCACAAAATTTCAGAGATAAAAACAAAGTCAGTCCACAATCCTGTTCTAATGAAAGAGACAATTATTTAGTGCCATCTAGTGTACACATTAGTATTTTCATTTTTCATTTCATGGGTGTTTTGTTACTATTTCATTGTATTTTGTAGTGCTATTCAACCAGCAACTGTTCAGTGTCACGGTGTCCCTGAAAGCACAATAAGACAGAGTCATGCAGGGCCCTATGTTACAAAGCAAGTTCAGCAGAACATCTTTCTGTTATCTGGATTCACTTAACCTAACACTGGCAGTCAGGATAAGCAGTCACACAAAGCTGGCTATCAAGGCACTAAGTTAATCCAAGGTTTCCCCTGCGCGTTCACATGAAAGGGTTGGCATTGGCAACATTTAGAAATAGCAATTATCGATGGGTTTACTGGCATCAGAGTAGGTCATCTTGCATAGGAAAATAAAACTATACTGTACAAAAAATATGAAGAGGTTAAAAAAAACATAATACAGACTAAAACCAACACAAGTGCCTCAGATAACACAGCAGCATGGCAGGAAAAGCACTGTACAGCAGTTTAGTGTTGAATGAATGTGTGAGCACTTTCAGAGCTTTGGGCAGTAAGACAGGAAAAGGCTTACAATATTAATAAAGTTTAGGCTATTTGAAGATGCAAACTCTCTATATTAACAAACTTGTCAATATTACGACTCTATCATTAAGTTTAGAGGACAGTTTCACTTTTTATTTTCTCAGCTACAGATCTAGTGGTGGTGGTGGAAGTGAAGCTAACAGAAAACAAATCATGGAACAAAGTTGCATCTAAGAATCCAGATTAATCACGGATGTTGATCAAGGAAAGACAAAGACTTCAGATGGCACTAAAAAAAACAAACAACTTTCGATGCTCCTATTCTGTCCTTCTGTCCCGTGCACAGAGGTCCCATGGATAGTGCCACTATTTTCCAGAAAACTGAGCGGTCAGTAGGTGAGGATCTCATGCGTGCCGATCTCTAGTCTGGGAAACATCCTGCTCCATAGCAGGTTAGGTTCACAGCACATGTTACGATGGCGATGTACACTGATAAGGAGTGAGCCACCTTTGCAGTACAGAAAAGTCAGGTTTAACCAGGAAGTTACCTGGAAAAGACAAAATCCTGCTTCATAGTGCAGGCCTCAGGACTTGTAGAAGACACACCCACCCTAGAACAACAATAGTCTGGGATTCTCACCTACTTAAGTGCATTCAATAGGGAGAGAGAGGAGTCTGATTAACCTACACCCTGATATTTATCCTGCAGCACAAAAGAAATGGCCTCTGTATGCCAGCACGAAGAATTTCAAATAAACAACCAAGCTGTGAATTTAACATAAGCATTGGATTAACTGTTTATGAATTACACACATTTTTAATAGACATTACCTCATTTAACTGTACCTATTAGCATATGTATTAATAAAATTAAAACTTACTTGATTGCGTTTTTCAGGTGGCAAAGAGGGGTCACCATCCTGGAACATGAAAAAAAGACTTCTATCATCAGCTGCAATAATACAGCAAATACTATAAACTGTAGCAGCGTGCAAAAGGAAAACTGAATATCTACATTTAGCTGCTGCCAAAAAATTTAAAATATTTTCTTTCTTTGGGGTGGGCTTGAATAAAGAAACTCTATCAGAATTACACAAAAAAATTGATATTCCTTCAAGAAATCTAGAAAATACATAAAGACAAAATCAGATCAGGATCTGCAACATTAAGCAAAGTAATGATCCTGTTAACATGACAAAAAATACCACAAGTGTGAAAATGAATTTCAACATCTTGGAGCGGACTGTCGATTCATTTTGCTCATGGCTGTAAAATACTTCATGCTAAAGGGTGGTCACAAAAAAGTACCACCTTGAAGGCTGAACCACTCACAATGAGTTCCCTGTACTTCTTCTTGAGTCCCTGGTGGCGTTCTCTCAGCTGGTTGGCCATCAGCTTGTACTGGTCTCTTTCCTGCTGACAGGTGTCCAGCTCTTTGGACAGGATGAGGAGGGCTTCCTTCTTACTCTCCAACTTCCGCTTACACACCAAGAACTTGAGCAAACAATGCACGAGAGCCATGGTGCTATGAGATATATTACTGCTGACTGAATTGGCAGTAATGTTTATTTCAGGGACCACAGCTGGACATGTAACATCTGTATCAAGCTTGTTCTTGGTTTTATCATGTATCTTTATGTTTATCTTATTCTGTGATGGGAACGGTTACATTAATTGTGCAAACAAAACCAACCCTAACCTGTTTCCCACAGGTGGAAAAACACACTGGAGTGAAGTGTTTGACGTACAGATAAGGCCCACAATAATGAGCAGTGGAGACCGATAGCAGTCAGACCAGCTTATAACCAAATAGCAGCTCCTATCATGCAGCACGGTGTGCTGTAGTAGTTTTGTTAAGTTCAGTGCTTGCCATGTCTTTCAGTTACAGTAAAATAAATCAAAACAAACAAACATTTTTTTCATTACTGCGTTGAATGCTAATTATTTTCTTATTTCTATGGTCTGTCAAATGTTATAAAGGTGCAGGTTATTCGATATTTGCGGCATATAGTGCTAATTAAATTAGCCTACAAGCTTAAATTACTGCGTTAGCGCCAAAATACACACACGCTTACCTTCATATATACAAATAGCTTACTCGGTAATACTCTTAACAGGTTAAACGCGAGCCCACAGGTGGGTCTACCCTATCTCTACACAGTAGCATCATCATATAGGGGTGGGATGGTGTATTTGCACCAACACAGTCGTATGCTATCAGCTTAACGGAATAGCTAGCAGAAGCCATCAAAGAAGAGCCCACCGGTGTCAAAAAACGTTGAGCTCGTGTGTGTATCAATGAACGTCCAGGTGTATGAAAGCTAAGAGACAGAGGCTCGTTTCCATATGGACACCGGGAAACATCTATAAAACCGGTCCGTGTCTGCAGCTGTTTACGGTCTCTCCCCCTCACTTACCTCGCTGACTAGCCCCTGCCAGTCACTCTCACTCCTCTTGGAAGACTGCATTATTCGTAATATTTTGCAAAAATGTCACGACACACCAGCCCCCCTCTCCTCATCCGTTTGTTTATCCTGCAACGTCACTTTCTTAGCCTCCGCTGTCAAGTTACGCAGAAAGACAAAACATGGAAACGACTTCCGGTACGTCTGTGAAAATAATATTATATTTGAAGAAATTCAGTTTTGGACAATTTTATACAATGAAGTTCTAAACGATTTTATAAGAACGATTCGAGTTATATATATAAGAGATTTGAGATAAATAGTGGAGAATCAGTGAAGCTGACAATAAAGCGGAAATGGGTTCCTTCATAATAAAAGCAGAAAGTCTTCCACTAAAACAAATTCCGTTTCAGCACTTTTTGGAGAGAAACGAGCAAAACGCTTAAATAATACAAATTATATGGGGGAAATGCACTGTTTTCTTTATGTCTATAGACCCTGTAAAGTTTGTAAACAGTGATGGCCTGGGGACTATAAGGTCTATAGGGGGGTCCTTTTGTCCCTCTGTGGGGGGATACTCCCACTAGTTTTATATCTGGGACTCTCCACCATTTGACCTTAGAACTGAAGAAGCTTCTGGGATGAGAGGTGAAACGTCTTCAAGCAACTTAAAGAAGTCCAGACGCTTTTCTTTGCAAGCTCCTTTGACTATAAGGTCTATAGTGATCATTTGGTAATGTTTATAATTTGTAAGAAATTATACACATTGTGTGAAATTATGCATCATTTCCAGAAACTGTTGCTAATCCAGGGACCCTAGGCAGTTTATATAGTAAATTTAATACAGACTGATTAAGGTGTTTAGCCCTGCCCCCCTTTTAACCAACTTTATACCAATCAGATACCCCTCGCAAACACCAGATATCAGCTTATAAAGGCAGGAGCTTGTTGAGAGGCAACCTGTTATGGAAAACCTTGCTGGGAACCCTCAAGCCAGGCGTTTTCACTGTAAAAAGCCTGAAAAAACAAACAAACAAACAAGGGCCACTGCTCATTCAGTGTTAATAACATAGTAAAGCACGTGCTGTTTCTCCTACTTTTTGATGCTAATGTAAATGGAATGTATTGGCACTATATAGCCACCATTACAGATAAGTATTCAGTTATACTTAAAACAATTGACTGCAGGTCATGAACTCATGAAAAATATTTTTGAGATCATGCACAAGAGTGCTGAGGGGTTATTTTGCCCCTTTACCACTGGACATCTTTTTAAACTCAGTCAAGTTTCTCACCCTTGGCCTTGAGAAAGAACCCAGGTTCAAGACATTTCAGTTTTGGTTTCAAGTTTCAGATCTGCAAGATACTATGTTTTTAATTGAATGAAATTAAATGAAATTCAGCATTTCCACATTCTGAAGCCTGATTTCAACTATGCTGGCGAACGGAAGGAGCACATCTTTCAACTTTTTTTTTTTAAAAAAAAGGGAATTTATTTAGCTACTAAACATTAAATTTGCAGTTTTTTACAATATGAAAATGAGATAAAATCTTTAATAAAACATACAAATTCTAATATATTTGGTAAATTCTCAATGACATTCACTTTAATTCAAAATACATGAATAGAAAAGTTGGCATAGTGCATAATACTAGTATACAGTTGACATGTTGTATATAAATTTTCAAAAATGAAAATGCATACTTAAGGTATTTATTTGCTTCACACAACCAAAATAAAATACATTAAAAAAGGAAAAAGTAGGTTTTATCATTTTCCTATCTGGAATAACGCTGTCTATAAAAACAGAAGTGGAAGAATTTATTCTTAAGTACCGCCAGTGTATTTTTATTTTTATTGGGCGCCAGTTTAGCTCAGCGCGTTGTGCAGACGCCTACATGTCATATGGCCGAGAAGGGCCGGCCCAGGTTTTAGTCTGACCCGCGGTCCTTTGCCTCATGTCTTCCCCCTTCTCTCTCTGCTCCTGCTTTCCTGTCGTTTTTCCACTGATCTATCTACTAAAGCTGAAAGTAACAAAGAATTTTTATCACTAACATTTGCAAATACAGCCACCATAATAGCACATTTTAAATTAACTACTAACTATAAAACTATACAAATAACATTACTGACATCTAGTACTAGTAGCTCCCTTAAAATACCATCTCTCCTTCTATCAGGATTTGGAAAGTGGTCACAATGAACAACAGGTGCAAAACTTTGGCTTATTGTGCAGAACAAATTTTGATTTGCTAGTTTGGTTTCTGTGGTGTGCTTATATATACACGCTTGAACAAAATATCCTTCAAAGCTTTCATTAACATCTGTACTTCTAATAATAGTATTTGCTTATATACATTTTCTCTGAATGGTTGTCACACTGTACAGGCCTTAATGACAGCCTTCGTCCTTACTGAATTCAACTTTGTTTAAAGTCACTATTGAGACTCCTGAACTGGGAAACTCAGAGGGTCGTCCGTACTTGTAGACATTATTGTAAAGGCGGTACAAATGTCCTTTGTTTCTTCTTTTTGAAACATTTCCTTCTTTCCTTCTAAATTCCAGCCTTTATCCTTGGTAAACTTGTAAACACACCCAAAGAGATCAGGAAATAACACCAATACGTCAATGTGAGGAGCGTCCTCATGACTGTGAACAAGGAAAGTTTTATTAATGAGTAGTAACAGAGAAGTAAGCTTCCAAATCTGTCATAGTATCAGAAATATTTGTGATATGTGCATATAGTTGCAAGAAATTCATATATATACACATATGAATATGTGTTCATGAAATAATGTTTTTCATTTAGTTTAACTTACTTATGCTCATGGAAATTGCGTATAAAGCGCAGTAATCCCAGTGTGGTTTCAGGGTACGGCTTTCTGCCATCCATCTTCTGAACCAGCTCTTCGGGAAACTGCAACAACAAAACATGGTGGTCATGAACTGGACTTTAGGAATACATAAGTTTGACCTCTCATCTGTAAGTCACCTTATTTTTCCACAGTTTGAAGGATCCATTAGCACATGCTTCTAGTGAACCAATCAGCTTTTCATCAGCATTTCGACAGTTTGCCACCTCCTCCCTGTTGCCGGTCTTCCTCAAATATTCAAACTGCCTGGAAATAAAGCTTAAATTACGCTTTATAAGTAACAACATAAAACTAAGAGGAAAATCTTGAATAATAACAGAAGCAGCAAAAAAGAGTCATGCTTAAAAATACGAGAACAGAAATGTATGAAACAAATTTAGTATTTGCTGCCAATGTTAACATGCCTGTCTTAGTACAAGACGGTTTGACCTCATTTTCCCAACATATGGACTAAGCCAAGTAACAGACAGAAAACTTTCCCCCATGTGTGGGAAAATGATTGAAAATCCTTCACAGTTTAGGCTCTCATGAGCAAATCTATTCTTGCTTTACTAAAGTTAAACTAGAAATTGCAGATTCTGTTACAGCATGACTTCCTTACTCTTTCGGAGTCCAGAAGAAGGGATGGTTTAAGCATTCTTTTACTTTGGGTCTGTCCTTTGGCTCTTTGTTGATCATCCACTCGATGAGATCCTTTGCCACCACATCTTGAACATAATCCAAACTGTACTTTCCATCATAAATGTTTGACTCACATTTATAGGATTTGCCAAATGGATGGTGGCCTCCAGAGAGGATATAATAAATCAGCATGCCTGCCACCTTAATAATAACACATCAGTTTAGGTATTTTTACCAAGGCATCTTTCAGTTAATCAAGTTTTTATGGACCTGTATTACCTGGATGTCAGTGCTTGACTTGTATGATATCACAGATTCTTCTGCTTCTTCTGCTAAAGTCTCTCGAGCCATCCAGCATCTGGTTCCTGCACTGCGTGTACGTAAAGTTGTTTGGCCTTTGAGTAAGCGTCTGCTTATGCCAAAATCAGCTAATCTTGCCCTCCCAGTAACATCTGCAGGAGGCATAAAGTACAAAACTCATGAAAATAAATCATTAATTCATGACATCTGTTTTGTTTTTCCCTGAATTTCAAACATGTCTCACCAATTAAAACGTTCTGGGGTTTGAGATCTCGGTGAAGAATTTTAGGATTTCCGCAGTGAAGCACCTTTAGACTTTCAAGAATTTGTTTTACAAGTTCCTTTAACATCAGTGGGTCATGGTCATCATTCTTGATATATTCTTCCAAGGTGTATTCACAAAGTTGCAGACAAAGATATCCAAAGTTCTCGTCCTCTGCAGCATCAACATATCGTACGATATAAGGATGATCGAGTTCAGGAAGTCGCAGGATTCCTTCTTCGTTCTTCAGCACTTCATAGTTGCTTTTAGACATTCTCTTAATGGCAACTTCTGTGCCGTCCTCTCTCAGCCCCAAGAAGACTTCAGTACCATCACTTCCCTTTGCTATTCTGAATTCTGCATCATTCACATAAATAATGCTTCTGATTCTGGATATTTTACTATCATCTGTGCCAACAAGTTTCTCCAGTTTTCTCCTCCACCTGTTACTGATTGGAAGCCATTTTTCTTTTTCTGATTTTCCATTGGTGCTGTAGTCAAAAGGCTTTAAATTTGAAGTTGATTCTACAACAGAAACCTTTGTTGTTTGATCAGTTGCTGCAGTGGAAATGTCATCATTTGGGTCTTCTTGCTTTTGGGTCTTTTCCTTCTTTTTCCTTTTCTTTTTCTTCTTCCTGACTAAAGTTGAGGCTGTGTTTCCCTCACATTCTGAGTTTGGTTTACTCAGATATTCTTTCAGACTTCTCAGCACCTCTTTCAGTTTTTCATTCAATTCCATTTCTACAGATGTCAGTATGTCCTCGGGCACTGAAGTTATGGCCACTGATTTAAAAATGTTAGCTGCCTTTTCAGCTGACAGCAGGTTGGCGAATATACCGTATGTGTAGACCCTGATCTCAGTGGAGTGTTGCTCATTTACAAAAGGGAAAACTGTTTTGCATAAGTTCTCTAAAAAGTTGACGTGCCAGTCCTTTGTGCCTTTTGTTTTCTGTGTTATCACATACAGTGTTTGTAGCACTCCTGCACAGATGTCAGGTCTCTCTTTTAAGCAAAGCAGTTTCAATAGTTGTGGAATTATAGCTACTGCATGCTCATCTGTTATTTGATCCATTGTGCAGAAAACTGCACTCAAACTTTCAACTGCCCTCCCTACATGTGTCTTAGGGATGTTTGGAAAGCGGCTGGCTGCACCTACAATGTAAGTATTCACATTTCCAGTTTTCTTTAGCCATTTAATACATGCCTGGCAGTATTTATCTTTCCCTCTCCCAGTTACAGTAAAAAGGATTTCAGTCATGGTCAGATGAGACCTAGGATCCTCTAACAACATGTGACTGTTGAACATTTTAAAAACTTCGTCAGGTGTTTTTTCACAAACAGCAATTTCCATATCAAAAAAATGCCTAATTTGGGAACACACTCTATCTCCATTTGATGCAAGGTGATTAATCATCTGAGATATTTTTTTACTGTTAATAAGCCACTGAGGATCATTTATGGGTGGAAGTGTCACCAAAGCGCCAGCAGAGATGAGTCTTTTCATGATATCCTCCCTGTCTTCAAAGGCTGCAACTTGCAGTGGTGTGGGTATCTCTTGTTGCACTGGAGCACTCCTTCCATCTGGGCTAGCTTTTGCCTCGAGCAACAGAGCCACAAAACAAAGTGGTGCTTTAGAATATGAGACATAATGCAAAGGTGTCCACTGGAGTTGAGAAGGTATATTTGGGTCTGCACCCTGACGCACAAGGTAAGAACAGATATCTGTGTTGTGATTTACAACAGCGGAGATCAGTGGGGTTATATAATCACGCCACTTGCTACAAGGGTAAACTCCATTAACATTATTGTGCTTCAGTAATTTCTTGAGCTCTTTGAGGTCATTGTTAGTTATGCACTGGATTATAGGATGTGTCTCTGTTGGTGGGGATACTGCCAGATGTAGCTGAGAGATGATATCCATGGTTTTGCTTCACATTGCCTGCGAACGAGAAAGCACTGTCATTAACCAAGTAATATTAAACCAGCTTTACCTAAAATACCTAAAAAATCCTAAAATCCTTAAAACTGGAGTTTAAAGGATGTTTATTTTGATTTTTTTAATAGTTGTTTATAAATGTCTACAGAATCCTAAGATTCTATTTAGACTACAAATGGAGTATTTGTGCAATGCAAAAATAATATTTTGAAAGCATTTAACTGTGTTTTAAAGGGTTTTGCATGTATAACAGGACCTTTTCTTCTCTCCATTCCTTTGTGACTTTGGATTTTTGTGTTATGACATACAGCATCTGGAGAGAAGATGCACAACATCTTGTTACAGTGCAAAACAGTTGCATTTAAAACAAACTGCATCTAAACTCTTTACACATGTCTAAAGTATGTATGGGTAGTTCAGTCAATAAGTAAGTTCTCTTTCAGTTATTTATAGGCTACATGACAAATTTTAAGAAAACTGTTGTTGGATTGGAAGAAATTTTACTATTGGTGTCAGTGTGGGTGTCTGCTGTTTAAGCTATGATCTCTCAATACAGAATGAAACTAGAGAAATTTACTGTTGGGATTCAGAGATGTTATTCTTCCTTCACATTTCCTGTTGAATGTTTTTTTAATGTAAAGACAAATGTGCATATGCCTAGTGTATATATACACTAGGCATATGCACACTTGCCAAAACATTCGGCTTAATATGACTGAATAGGAATCTTAACTTTAAATCTCAGGAGGATGCGCAACGGGAAATACAGGCTGAGAACACTGAAGGCGGTAAAACTTCGGAGCAACACGTACGCGTTGAAGAATTCAGACTTATCCGAGACTTAAGTAAACTTGAAATCCTTTGACGTTGAGTTAAAACAGTAAGTCTACAATGTGTGCTGTTTTTACGCTAACATAAGGATTATTTTGCAATACCGTTATAAAAAACTGTAAGAGAAATAACTTACCGCGCCAAAGGTGAGCAATTCTGCATCTGAGCGATATCTTCCTGCTTCTCGAAGCGGTTCTTCCTCTTTTACGGGTCTTCCGGTTTCAGCAGTGTAATGAAGTCTGTAGTTACTATGAAGTTTTTGGAGAGATTGCTACTCTTGAATGTTTTTGGGCTGGGGGAGCTATCAGGTCTCTCGGTTTATTAAAAACATACAAAAAATAACTTTGGATAAAAAAAACAGATATATTATCAAAGAAAATGACGGTAACAGCTTTCAGATTTAGATAGATGTGGCTTAGATGTGGTTTATAAAAAAACCCCCAACAATATGGTTGTAAAAGAAAAAAAAATCAGTCTCAGTGTTTCATGTTGAACGATGTCCTTATTTCTAAAATGCATCAGCACTGCAGAAGGAGCTGTGATGGAGGATGCACAGGTGTGTCCTTGTATTAGGTTGGCTGTAGCTTGGATTGTTATGGTTACCATGCAGAGCTCTTTGTTCATTTTCTTCTTTTTCTCCTGCTGTTAGGTTCTGAGGAGATCAGCATGCCATGGTGTCTGACCTTACACAATGCTGTTACTACTGTTAGTGTATCAGCAGTTGTTGCAATTCTCTCACAGTGAAGGAGAAACTGCAACCTTCTTGCCTGAGTCTCTGAGTTTGGCAGTTGAATCAGACTCCCCTTAATCTGAATTTGGGATTAGGTTAGGAAGACTAATTGGGGTAGTCAGCTTCTACTCACTAATTCAACCAAAACAGAGAAAAGTAGAATATCTTAAAAAACAAATCAAGACAAAATAAAATCAGGATTTACAATACAATTTACAAAGCATCCTCGTGATACTGTTTACATGACACAAATAGACTTGAAATTTCAAAATGAAATGTAGTAGGCAAAGAGTCTGTGTTTTTTTCTGTTATAAATTATAAACATAATACATAATATTATTATGTTATAATATATACTAATCATATCTCTTAAATAGCCAAAAAAGTGTGATACCTTAAGGAACTGGGGAAAATTCAAAGTACTTCACAAAACATTCATTAAACTAAACAGATCACCAGAGGAAGCTTAAGTACTGACCATTAAAAACATGGTGGCTCTCAAAAAATATCAATGAGCAAAATGACCTGGACTATAAACAACGTAACAAACAACCACACACTTACTTACGATGCACACTCAAAGAATAAACTCAGCTACATCTGGAATAAACAGTTGCATCAGTCAGACAGTTGCAGAATATGATCAACTAGAACGGAAAACATTTAACTATATGGATCACAATACACAGGACTTGAAATATGAAAGATCCATTTATTAACACAATGTACTGTATGAACCTGCTCCCCAGAATTACTAGACCTACCAGGATCACATCACATTGTGGAATTCTCATAGACAACATTTTTACAAATGACACAGAATTATGAAGTACACACTTATTTAATAAATTAAATATCAGCAAACAAACAAACACATATAACAGTCCAGCAGCTGGGGCAGCAGAAAAAAATGAGTCTTGTAAAGAAAAAAAGAGAGAAATGCTCTGTGACTAAAATACAGAAAATTTCAGTATTTGTATGAGACAATAAATTAAGATAAAGTTTGTAGATTTAAATTTACATTAAATCTTATGTACTTATGTACTTACTTATACTTTTTATGTTAAATAAAAGTGATTTACATATGTGAAAACAATGAATTGCCAAATAATATGGTGAAACAGTGCTATAATACAATTAATTAATAATTAATAATACAATTAATCATAAAATTGTTTTTAAAAAGTGCTGTTATTAATATTTATTAAAAATAAAGTTCCTACTACTACAAACTCCCTGAAAATAATATATCTCATCCTACCAGCATTTGGAAAATGATTACTATAAACACATGCAAAACTTTTCAAACAACTATTCAAACAGAACAAAGTCCCTTAATGCTTTCAATAACATGTCTACTGCTACGAATTGCTTGTGTCTTTTGTTTCCCGTCGGACTGCTTGTTAGACTCTATCAGTAATGGAAAGAGCAGAGGGGTGTGGTATTTCATCACAGCCAGAGGGAGGCACTGTGGAACCATCAAACTACAGGCCCCTGTGCTGATAAGGCAAGAGTTGGGGAATGGCTGCAGTCACAGCATTGTAAGATGGTGAAAGAATAGAAATACTTAACTAAAACTGATAAATCCAAATAGATTAAATCACGGTACTCTTTTTTTTTTTCACTTTTATGAATACTAGCTATATTTTCAGGAGAATAGAAGTAGTACTTGTGTAACGGAAGTGCCTGAGATGACTGAGAACCCATGTTCAAGAGGTGACTGAGAAATGTTACTAATTTAAGAAAACTATGAAGGAGTTGATATTCAACAGGTCATAAAGTCAAGAGGTGGAATGACTATCCTGAGCTGAATCAACAGGTGGAAAAGAAGAAATAATTTCAATGGAGGTAACATAAAAACACTGACACTAGATCTGAGAGAAATAGAGAGAAAATGTGGAAAAAAGATTAGTATATAAAATACAATGTTAAACAAAGCAATTATTCCCTTAAAATGAGATAAATACCATGCATAATCTCTAAAAGTTGATTCTGTTCATCTGGACGTAGCGTTTTGTGGGAGAAAGGTTTCGTCACTCATCCAAGTGACTTCTTCAGTCTCAGCTGACTGCAGGTTTCCCCAACCTTATAAACAGTACATTTGCATAATGACTGAAACCAGCCCACTGAGGGACAATGGGCTGGGAGGTCAGTTCCTTAATCTTAATTATGCAAATTCTCATGACCATTGATCAACAACCACTGACCAAAACCCACTGATCAAAGACCACTGATCAATGGCCATGAGTACCATTCACAGAGAATCTGTACACATCTTGAACATGATCCAAACTGTACATATTAAATGTTGGACTCCCATTCAAATGATTTTGACAATGAAGCACCTTTAGACTTTCAAGAATCTGTTTGACAAGTTTCTTTAACACCAGTGTGTCATGGTTTTTATTATTGATATATTCTTCCAGAGTGTATTCATAAAGTTGCAGACAAAGATATCTTGTCCCTGAAAATCAACATATTGTACGATATAAGGATGATGGAGTTCAGGGAGTCGTGGGATTTCTTCTTCTTTCTTCAGCACTTCATAGTTGCTTTAGACATTGGCCATTTCTCAGTTCTTAAGTGCACGAGTCCGTACTCATATTCTCGCTTCTTTGCAACTTCGTAGTTCACATGGCATTCTGGAGAAATGCGAGAAGGTAGCGCGATTTGTGTACAATTGGAACACCAGTGTAATTGATGATGTTACAGGTCAGCCTAACATGACCATGCTGGCTCAGCCTGCTCAAATATCAATAAACAATACAATAAAATTATATATAAACATTACTGTGTGTGTTTTTCTTGAAAAATAATGCATGAAAAATATTTCATAAATTACTTTATCTGTATAGATATTTTATATTATATAGCTAGCAGACCCCATCAATGAAGAGCCCACTGGTGTCAAAACAACGTTGAGGTCATGCGTCTATTAATGAACGTCCAGGTGTATGAAAGCTAAGAGACAGAGGCTCGTTTCCATATGGACACCGGGAAACATCTATAAAACCGGTCAGTGTCTGCAGCTGTTTACGGTCTCTCCCCCTCACTTACCTCGCTGACTAGCCCCTGCCAGTCACTCTCACTTTTAGCACTTTTTGGAGAAAAATGAGCAAAACGCTTAAATAATATAAATTACAGGGAGTGCAGAATTATTAGGCAAGTTGTATTTTTGAGGAATAATTTTATTATTGAACAACAACCATGTTCTCAATGAACC